AGAGAGTTTTTTTCCACGTCAATGTATTTGTAGATTAATTGATATTAATACGGTGAATGATTAGCTTCGAAAGCTGATATGAAAATTTGACGGTAAACCTATCCATTTCCTAGCTACGTGCTTGTAGTAAACAGAGGATTGTGTATACAATCGCGTCTCGTACTAAGCCCATAGATACTAAACCGCGCATACTACCTATAAATGGACGGGCTGCTATAAAGTCCATTCATGATCGCGTCGCTTGTACAACAAACGTCGGGTGGCTCGCGCCTCCCGCGCGATTTATTACACTCGTATTCAAGCACGAGTTGTGTTTCCTACTTACATTAGTACACGTGTACGCCGACGCAATGGCTCTCGAAATCGTCTCATTGCACATTGTCTGACTCGCCGATGACAGACCAATCGACCTCGTTTTTATTGGATCTCGTTAATCATATAATCGAATATACATAGGCGTCATAAATTGCTCAACATTCACTAGATGCATTTTCTGAAAAAAAAAGAGAGAAACAGAAAGAGAGAGAATAAGTATTATGTATGTCTAGATATTATTTATATTATCAAGATTTTCTTATAGTAAGAAAATAGGCAAAGCTGAATCATCTTTACATTAAACATCAAGAAATAATCGATATCTAGTCAGATTATATGTCATATCTTAAGCATAAAGTTAAAAAATAAGTAAGTCATTATTATTTATGTGTCACATAGCTAACTGATAGAAAAGATTCTTCTTTGAATTCTTATTTCTCTCATAGATTAGATTTAAATGTGTGAAATTCTTAGTATATTTTTTATCGGTGTCAAAATAACTTTATTTAAAGCAGAACTCTATCAGAGTAGCACAAGATTTGTATGATGCCAGAAGCGAAAAAAACGAACAGAAACCAAATCGTACAATCTTGAGATAACCCATAAAATTTTAGTATGGAGAGAAATCTGATTTCTAACAATTTTTAAAAACCAATCTTGCAAATTTGATTCTTTCTATCATAAAATAAAAGTAAAATAAATATAAATGAATAATTTGAACTATATTAAGAATATTTTTTTTTTCAATTTTTTTAACTTTTTTGAATTTAAGAAATAAAATATAAACAAACATATTTCCAGCAATATACGATAAATAATCGATAAATTATTGCAGTAATATTTTTTTAATCTTTCTTAGATTTTACGTAATTATGCTTTCATATATTTCAATATTCTTTTTAACTTTTAGTTTAAAACGTTAGTATAGATACATTTCTTCTCTCTCTTGCTTATTATGATGTACTTATATGTATATTGCACTTTTATTAATATAATAATTGCATAATAATTATAAGTAATGAATAAGATTTTTATTCAATCTTTATAAAATTTAATTATTGAAATTTTTCGTAATTTGACATCAGAACGGAATTCTATTTGAAAAATTAAAGATTTTTGTATTTTTTATTATTACTAATGATTATACTAATGATCATTAAGACGTGACTCTTTCGTGAATACCACGATCTGGTGGCACACGACACTGATGGACAGACAGATGGAAAGCGTGTGTGCTACCGGAGTTGTTGTCAGATCGTTTTACTTTACTGCCCATAAAAGTACCGAGATTTAGACTGCAATACTGCCATGACGTATTGCTCGCGCGCTGCGTGTACATGCACATACACACTATTAAAGATGAGTCCGGTTGCTAGCAGGCATGATCCATGAGAGTATTTCACCAGCCACGTGATATTCCGTAGGAAGGAGAGAGAAATTTGAAATGTACATTTCTAATCAGTTTGACAAATTGTATGTTATCGCATAAATATAAAAAAATTATTAAAATAAATGAATAAAATAAAAGGAAAAATGGACACGCGTCTCTTTTAAAGGTAAGGAGACGAGAATCTTTCAATTAGATACATATATAATAAATATGAGAGAAAGAAGCTTGTCAAAAGTAGTTATTTAAAATTAACAAATTGAATTAGAGATACTTTTTGATCAATATATCAGGAAATTTATTAATGCAAAAATTAGCAGATTATATTATATTACATTCTTTCTCCAAAAAAAAATATTACTTAATTATTTTTTAAATTTATTTTAAATGGAAAAAAATTTAATTCGATATTATAAAATTTATTAAAAAATAGAAGTCATCTCTGTCAATAAAATTATGTACAAATATTGGCTTTCGTTAAGTAATTAGAAACAATTATTATTGATCTGTTATTTACTCGCGATTCATAATCATTCCGTTTCTTTTCCCCGTTGATTGCGAATCGATCGCATTCGAGATAAAGCGGCGTATTGACATTCGGTGGTTCGTGCAATACTTCTGGAAAGGCAGAAAAAAAGGCAGCCTCTCCCGTAAGATAGTTGGTATGTTTGCGCTCGCCGCGGCTCGCGACGGCGAGGAGAAGGAAGGAAAAGCAGATTAGAGCGCGCAGGAAGAGAGTGGGGAACGTAGTGGAACGCGCGCGAGAGAGAAGCGGTCGCTCGAGGAGAGTGGGAGACAACGAGTTCGTCCGGACCTCGCACACCAAACGATCCGAGAGATCGCGCTCGCGTCGCTTTTGACCCGTTCGACGGCGAAGCCGCGGGCAGAGCTCTCAGTTGACGCTCAGTTCGGCTCAGCGAGGCCAACGAGAAGAAAGGGGGTTATTCCATGTGTGTGAGCGTCGT